ATAAAATGCTAAGGGAAAAATAGTTCTGTTTCTGTATCAGAAAAATGGGTCAAAAAAGTAGAATCTCACTAATTCAGATGGCTCTTTGAACTTACAAGGGTCCTTGGCACTGGAGAAAACAGTAAATTGGAGCCTCCTGACTGATAATTGTCAGATAACTGAAACACCTCTGCAGTCAGCGGGGCTAACTGGGTAATACTGGGGAAGGGGCATGAGGGAAGTCCTACCTTACAGAGAACCTTGGCCATTTCAAAGGTGCCCACAGTATCCATATTGGCAGCAATGATAGGAATCCCAGTGTACATCTGCTTTGAGTTCCGAAATGAAAAGGATCTTGTCAGATCCACCTGCAGATATGAACAGGAAACTGGGCATTTCGTTCATCCAAAACACATACTGCATTACGATAAGAGCAGCATAGCTTGGGTGAAAGAAAATGTAAGTACAGAAGCTGGCTCACTTCGCTTCGAGACTTAAGGGTGCTGCGTTTGGGCCTCAACAGGACATCCTTGAAGTCCAATTTCACATCATTGTCGATATGCGGCATGGCGGCGGGGACCTTAGGGTAGCGAAGAATCTGGGGGCTGGAAAGCAGGAAAAGTCCGGAAAGATCTGAACCAGTCCTCACTAGGCTCCTGTTAGAGCTGGCGGCAGGGTACCCCTATCTTTTTGCTAAGTTTAGGAAGGTCGGGTACAGATCGAGGTGTGGTCTTTGAAACCTGTCGCCTCGACCCGTCCCGAGGCTGTGATTACTCTCGGGATCTCCTTCCCGGGTACTCTCTATGGGAGAGAGAACCTGGGAAGGCGCTGAGTGACCTTGAGGATGCACTCCTTACCCCGCTACTCTTCCTTACTCCCGCCCTTGCAATGAGTAACTTGATCTCAGAGGCTGCTATACCGCGACGAAAGTGAGGTCTACTAACCAGCTTCCGGGATGGGGGTACTCACTTCCTGTTCCCTGGCCCGAGTGGCAGTTGACCCTCTTAACAACAAGCCTCGTGCAGCCCCGCTGAGCCTTGTGGGCCGCGCCAACAGGTTCCGCTAATTGCAGGCAAGAAGGGCTAGCCGAGGAAGTCCGGTTTCGGCGGCGGCCTCACGAGGCCTTCTGGGTAACAGAGTTCACACCCTGAGGGTGCCGTTGGATCCGAGGGTCGGGAGACTACAACTCCCAGGGTGGAGCGCGCGGAGCTGCCCCCGGGCAGGGCGGGAGCAGTGTAATTCGTTCACCCCGGCTTTCCGCTAGCCCCATTTGCAAGGGACTCCCAGAGCGGGGGCGTTGTCTCCGCTGTGACTGAGCCGACCGCCTTCTTTTTACTGACGACGCCACTGAAACGAAAGGCGGGAGCGTTCCTGAGTCTGTCGGGAGCCCTACGGCCAGAAGGGGAGGGGTGGAGCCAGACAGTGACCCGGAAGCAGAAGCGACTCCCCCAGGCGGAGTGCTAGGGACCGGCAGCGGCGACCGCAGCGGTAGAAGCAGCGATTTATCTGTGTGCGGCACCAAACTGGGAAGAAGATGCTAATTAAAGTGAAGGTGGGAGCACCTCCGGCCTTGGCAAGATGCGGTGGTACCGGGCTGGCCGCCGTGCCTTACGAGAGACCCGGGGAAGGGAAACCACGCCTTCCCCGAGCCTGGAGGGCGCTGACAGCATCAAGGCTCCGCGCGAGGGGTTATGGGAAATAGGGGGACCCCGCGGGGCTTTGAGAGTTGAGGGCTAGTCCCACCTGATGACCCTGGGGTTTCCACCATCCCTGCTTTCTCTCCAGAACCGTGCTAAGACCCAGAAGGAGGCCGCTTTTGTCCTGGGTCTCACCAGATTGGAACGCCCCCCGCGGTCTTAAAGCCTCAGCAGCTTGGCTCCCACCCCGGGCCCCCTCGGATTCTTGGAATAAGCTGTTTTTCATTCTTCATGCTCACGTTACCAGCTTCTCCCAGTCCCTAAGGCTGCCTCCGAGCACGGCACTAAAATGTTTTCCTGGGGGAAACTTGGGACCCCCTAGGGGCTAGACTATGAGCCTTTGCAGGTGGTGGCCAAGGTGTAGTGTCGCCTGTGTTTAGGAACCAAAACTGGGAGTGATCAGTCAGCACCTGCCTTTCTGAGTCGGGCATCCTGGACCAGCCTCATTTCCTTGACTAAGGCAGATTATTTACTGGTGAGAGTTCTTGGTACTGGCCGTGTGTCCTTCATCTCTCTCTCTCTCTCTCTCTCCCTCAGCGTAGTTTTTCTTCATTAATTTCCAGCCCTTAGTCCTGTCTGCTGTGTCCTTTTTTGTGTCTTCAGAGAGAGACAAAAAATTGACAATTGATACGGTCCAACACTAGTTTGACTTTCTTGCTGCTAAGTAATTCTGTCATTAGTTCATCATTTCCTTGGCTTATTTACCTTACACAGTAGCCATTTTAACTATCCCTTCTCCATTCCTTTCAAACTACTACCACTTAGCAAGAATTGAGGCCAAAGAGCATGTTTAAGATTGTTGTTTTTCAAAGTTTGAGTAGCGGCCTATAAGAGTCATGAAATCAATTTTATGGGTCACTGGGCCTAAAGCAACATTAAATACATATGTATGTGTGTGCGTGTATATATATGGATGGATGGATATCAGAGTATACTGCTGGGTAAGGGTGCTGCTTTGTGTAATTTTGATTTCTATTTTATATGTAACATGTATATGTTACTATATAGTTCATACATATTTCTTAGTGTGATTCATTCAAAATTTTTTCATTTTTTAAAGAATATTAGTTTCTATAATCAAACCCATGTAGATAAGACCTTACATATTAATAAAGTGCATTACCCCTGGACAAATGGAAAAAAAATTAAGTTTAATGTTTCTAGAGCAATATGACCATTACTTTTTGTACAATGTCAATTCGACACAGTAAACTGGGATACTTTCTCCAAAGTTGACAGCACAGATAGTTTCCCAAAATTTAAATTACATACACACACACACACACACACACACACACTCAAAATTTTGAGAAACACTAACAGAGAAATGGTTTTTAATCATTATTCAATGTGTAGATTCTCTTGTCGCCTTTGTCCAAAGAAAAGGTTGTTACTGTACTTACTATTTTTTCACTTTTTAAAAATTTCAACCCACACTAAGAAATTTTACTTTATGACACAGACACAAAGAACATTGTGTGTGATGTGCCTTGGTATTTTCAATTTTGAATTAGGGTTTTTTTTTTTAATAATTATTTTATTTTATTTATTCATTCGTTTATTTTTTAATTTGACCAGAGAGAGAAAGAGGGTGAGAGTCAGAGAGGAAGTGAGAAAGCAAGCCACCAGATTCAGGACTCGAACCCTGGTCTGCTATGTGGAAGTGTCCAGTACCTTAACCACCACGCCACCTGCTGGTCCCCAATTTTGAAATAGTTCCATAACTCACTGATGGATTAAGACCTGCAGTTTGAAAAAATACTGTGTTCTCAGTGAGCTGCTCAGCCTTCCAAGTGGTTAAGAGTCATCTGGCGGTCTTGGTAAAATGCAGATTCTGATGCATGAGTTTAGGAGTGGGCACTAGACTCTGCCCTGCTAACAAGCTCCTGGATGATGCCAGTGCTACTTGTCTGGGAGCTGCAATTTGAATAGCAAGGTTCTAGATTTTCTCTTTGAATTCATTTTTATTTAGTACATCTCTAAAATTGTTAACTTCCTTTCTTGCAGTACTTTCTGCTTTCACATATCTCCTCTCTTTTGTTTGCTGCATTTCTTTATATCAATGTATTAAACACATAAGAGAGCATTTGACAGTTACTATATAAACGATATGTTTGATAGGGTTCCTTTGGGACTTACTCATTTTTTTAGCCGAGTGTCTGCTAGCTAACTTCTTCCATACCTTTCTATAATCTTTTTTTTTTTTTTAAAGAATTACTTTGTTTAACTTTATTTATTTATTTTAATTTGACCAGGAGTGGGGGAGAGAGAGAAAGAGAGAAAGCAAGCTGCCAGGTTCGGGACTCAAATAGTGGTCGGCCATGTAGGAGTCCAGCGCCCTTAGCCACCAAGCCATCTGCCGGCCCCCCTTCTGTAATCTTAACAATGAAATTCTTCTTCATTGGGCCAGCTGTTGGTATAGTAGTGGTTAAGGCAGCTGTATCACACATTGACCAAATGCCTGGTTCAAGTCCCAGACTCAGCAGCATGAAAGACATGCCAAGTGTGCATGCACGTGTGGCTGAGTACCCAAATTCTCTAGAGGATAACGAAGGAGAATTAGTCATCCCCCTGGGAAGGAGTGCTCTCTCTTTTCTCTTTCTCTCCGGCGAGTGAGTGCATGGGCCCTATGGCAAATTTTTTAAAAAGTCTTTTAAAATTACTTTTTTATGGTGGGGAAGGAGGCAGCAGGTGGTATAGCAACTATGGTGTTGGACTCCCACATGGCCAACCTCTGTTTGAGTCCCAGACCTGGTGGCTTGAAAATCATGCTGAGCATGTGTATGTGCTTGCACAAAATCCCAAGAGGAGAATGGAAGTGAAGGGATTGAGGTGTGGCCATCTCCCTAGGAGGTGATTTCTTACTTTCCCTCTCACTGTCTGTCTCTCCCTGGTAAGCATGTGCGCTATGGCAAAAACCTTAAAAAATAAATATAAATAAATTGGGTTATTTTATAAATGAAATCAGATTTCTTTTTAAATTACTTTTTTACTTTTAGTATTATTCTCTTTATTCATTATAGAGCTCATGCACAGAGTGAGGAACAAGAAATAAGGGAATGAGATAAGCACCCTTCACAGAGTCTGCTCACACAGCAGTCCCCTTCTTCCATTCCCCAGCTCATCAGATCCTGGGCACTAGTGTGTATACCCACTGTGTTGCAGGCTGACTGGGTAAGATGGGGATTTGAACTGCAATAGCCATGTGGGATCTGACTTCTGAGCAGTGCACCACCATAGGGCAACCTCCTGTTCAGTTACTTTAAAACAATTTCATTTACAAACATTTTCAAACACACAACAGCAAAGAGAAAGGTATATATGCCTTTTATCCAGCTTCAAAAATGATATCTCATGGCCCATCTTCTCTCTTTCCTGGGGGGATTTATTACTTTCCCTCTCTCCCTGTCTCTGGCAGGTGCATATGTCCTATGACAAAAATCTTAAAAAAAAAAAAAAATCATATATTGGCCCAACCTAGATGGCACATCTGATAGTGTGCTGGGCTGCAGTGCTGGAAGCTACATGGCAAACTGTGGGTTTGGATCCTGGGTTTGGAATCTTTCAACTCACTCTCTACTTTCAATTCCATAGACATCTTTTTAACCTGTCTCAAGTCCCATTTTCCTCATCTATACCATGGAAATAGTACATATCATAAATGCTTGGGAGAATGAAATGTGATGATACTCATAATATGCTTAGCATAGGTTCTGACTCTTAGGAAGTGTTCAGTAAATGGTGGCTATGGTTATTGCATGATCATTAACGTATTTAGCCCTTCTACAAGTACAGATTGATTGCTTAGCAAGTACTATGTCTTGTGTTTGGATTAGAAAATGAATAGAGGGGCCAGCAGGTGGTATGGTGGTTAAGGCCACTGGACTCCCACATGTCCAACCACAGTTCAAGTCCCAGACCTGGCAGCTTGCTTTCTCATTCCCCCCCGCCCCCCGCACCCTCTCTCTCTCTGTGTCCCTCTCTGGTCACAGTAAAAATAAGTATACAAATAAATAAAGTTAAATGAAATAATTCTTTAAAAAGATGAATAGAACAGTCTCTGACTTTTAGGAAGTTGGGATGTATGTTGGAGAGTTTAGCACTTAAACAGCTAGCTGCAATTTATATTAATGAAAGAATTAACAAAATGCATTGGGAACAGGTTTAGGCAACATAAGGAAGAGACTGTGTAGTAAAGGATACCTGAAGTTTAGAGGAGGGCATTTCAGCCAGGAAAACAACAGAAGCAAAGAAATGCCCCTAAATTAAGCGAAGCTGAGTGTTTGGTCTGGATCACTGTAGATTGGTGAGACAGAGCTTTAAGAGCAAGGGTGAATGAGAGAGTAGGTTGGGTGAACACATTTATTAAGTGGTCAGTATAATTATTGTGTTTGGGTATCAGAATAAGGTTATCTGACTTGAAAAAATCCTTAGAATACCTGTCATTGCTATATCACCTAAAAGAATGACATTCTTATAATTGCGGGGCTGCAGAGGTAGAGGAAGATGCCTGTGGGATTAAGAGAATAAAATAGTGTGCATAATCTTGCCTTCCAAAGTTGTCCACAGCCTAAAAATGTTTGAGAAATACAAGTGTGGACAAAGGGTTCTGATTCTCCAAAATGGCATTGCCTTCTGTTTTTCAGAAGGCAACAGATCCCCAAAGACCAGGACGGGATGTTTTACCTAGAAGACAAAATATACAGGGCCAGTAGGTGGCATGGTGGTTAAGGCACTGGAATTCCCACATGGCCAACCACAGTTCAAGTCCCGAACTTGGCAGCTTGCTCTCTCTCGCTCTCTGTCTTTCTCTGGCAAAACCCATGTGAAAAAACTAATAATAAATAAATAAATGAATCCAATAATTTTTTTTAAAAATGTACATTGGGCTCTAGGACTCATGAAACTCTTACCTGTTTCAGACGCTGACTGGAAAGGAGATTGAGATTGACATTGAACCCACAGACAAGGTGATGTATCCCAACACCTTCATGCCCTTCTCCTTGGCACACAGTTATTTAGGGATGCTTACGAACTTAGTCCTTTGACTCTTATGCTGTCTGCATAGCCCTTGTTCTTTCCATTTTCATGGCCCTACCTCTGAGCAACTCCTATCTGTCCCTCTAAAGGTGGAGCGAATCAAGGAGCGAGTGGAAGAGAAAGAGGGAATCCCCCCACAGCAGCAGCGGCTCATCTACAGTGGCAAACAGATGTGAGTGGGAGTGGGTAAGGGCAAGGCAGTCTTATGTGCACATGAGGAGTGAGCAAGTACTGGAGGTAGAGCCAACCTGCTTTTTGTTTGTTTTTTCCCCTGGGCACCTAGGACTCTCTGGCAATTTGGCAAAGCCTATAGACCCTTTCTTGGGATAAGGTTTTTTTCAGGCATACAATAAAACATGCAGAATTATAAAGAAAACTAAGGAAATTGAAATATAATTACCAAAATACTAAAACAGATCTGTGATAGAGTAATACGTATACTTCTTTATTAATATTAATACATTAAATAAGATCTTGTGATGGGTCTAATAACTACTATAATTTAAAATATTTTCAGGAGACCTACACATAGTTATATGCTTTTCATACTAATATGATTTTAATATTAATTTCTATCTTTAACAAGTACCCATATTAAAGTCTGTCATTTTTTGCCCATATTCAAAATTATAAGAAATAATAAGGGGGACCAGCAGATGGCATAATGGCTACATCTCTGTACTCTCACGTAGTCGACTGTGGTTCAGATTATGGACCAGGTGACTTAAAACTCACTCCTGAGGACCAGCAGAAGGCGTAATGTTTAGGTCCTTGGACTCCCACATAGTCGACTGCAGCTTGGGTCGCAGTCCTGGTGGCTTAAAACTCAGGCCAGGCACATGTGTGCACATGCCCAAGATCCCGAGAGGAGAATGGAGAAGAGATGACAGCATGGCCATCCCCCAGAGGGGGCAGGGGTATGATTTCTCACTTTCTGTCTCTCTATTTCTGTGGCAAGTGCATGCAGCCTATAGCCTAATAATATTTCTCTTGGGGCCAGCAGGTGGCGTGATAGTTAAGGGTGCTGGACTACCGCATGGCCAACCATGGTTTGAGTCTCAGACCTGGTGCCTTGCTTTCTCACTTTCCCTCTCTTTCCCACTCTGTCCCTTTCTAGTCAAATCAAAATAAATAAAATAAACAAAGTTAAATAAAATAATTTTTTTGGAGAGGTTTTTGCTATAGGGTGCATGTGCTCACCAGAAAGAGATAAATCACCCTCCTGGGGGGATGGCCATGCCACAATCCCTTCTCCATTCTCCTCTCGGGATTTTGGGCATGCACACACATGCACCTGGTGTGAGTTTAAGCCACCATGTCCGGGACTTGAACCACCATCGGCTGGGAGTTCAGTGACATAGCCATTATGCTAACTGCTGGTCCCAAGATAATAATTTTTAAAAAGTCTCTCAAAAAAAGAAAAATTCACACTGGGCACATGTGCATGTATGCACAAAATCCTGTGAGGCCATCCTCTCCGGGTGTGTGTGTGTGTGTGTGTGTGTGTGTGTAATTTCTCACTATTCTATCTCTCTGTCTCTCCAGCAAGTGCTCTTCAGCAAAAAATCTCTCTCTCTCTAAAAAAAAAGAAAAAAAGAAAAAGAAATTCTAAGGAGCAGCAGGTTGCATGGTGGTTAAAGTGCTGGATCCCAAGTGGCTGACTATGTGGTTTGAGTCTTAGACCTGAAAACATGCCAGGCACATGTTTATGTGTGCCCAAAATCCCAGGAAAAGAATGGAGGAGGAAAAAAGAAAAAACTCTTTTCTTGACGGTATTAGTAACACTCTTTGTTTTGTGCTGTCCTTTTCTTGCAGGAATGATGAGAAGACAGCTGCTGATTACAAGATCCTAGGTGGTTCAGTCCTCCACCTGGTGTTGGCTCTGAGAGGAGGAGACAGTCTTAGGCAGTGATGGATCCTCCCTCTATTTTACCTCCTTACCCTGTCACTCATAATGAGGCACCATGTATCCTCTCACTCTATGGAACATCAGAGCCACTGCCCCATCCCCCGGATGCCTGGTCTGTGTGTGTCTACTGGTGGGAGACTGAGGACCCCAGGATGCAGTGTTCCTGGCCCAGAGGGCCCTTGCTGGCTGTTGGGTTTTAGTTTGCAGTCCTGTGTGCTTCCTTCTTATGTCTATGTTCTTGGTTGTCAATAAAATATTTCCTGGCCTCCTGGAATCTTTCTTCTCTTGGACAAGTGTGACTGAAATGCAAATGGAGCCAGTGTTCACCCAGTTATACCAGGCTGAAGAGTAGGAGGATGGAGGTATGGTGCTCTTAGAGGGATTATCCAGGAGAACCTACCCAGTGGTGTGCTGGAGCCGGTTCACACCGACTGGTGAGAGCTATCTGTTGGCTCCTTATTAAATAATTTGGTCCTTTAAAGTGACCATAGTAGAAATAGTTGTAGATAAGCCAACACTACAAAACAGTCCCTCCATGCAAACTAGCATACTACTCCGGTGGGTGAGTTGACTCCCACTGTGGCTCTACAGCACATTGAGGCTTTGAAGCCACTACATCCTTTATGACTGAGATACTGCTTAGGGCCCTGGGCTCCACACTGGAGAGGAGACAGGGTGACTTGGGACAAGCTGAGATGGGATTTCCTAGGCCTCAATGGGTAAGATGAAAGGGGCCAGCAGGTAGGTGGTTAAGGGCAACAGACTCCCAAATGGCAGACCGAGGTCCAATAAGTGACCTGATGGCTTGATTTTTTTGTTTTAGAATTATTTAACTTTATTTATCTTACTTTAATTTGACCAGAGTGAGAGAGAGGGAAAGTGAGAAAGTCACTAGGTCCAGGAATCCAACCGCAGTTGACCACCATGTGGGAGTTCAGTACCCCGCCGTGGGGGGGGGGGATGGCCACCCCGCAATCCCTTCTCCAATCCCTTCTTCTCCGTTCTCCTCTCGGAATCTTGGGCACGCACGCACACGAGCCCGGCATGAGTTTTAAGCCACCAGGTCCAGGATGGGAACCACAAAAAACTACGTGGGAGTCCAGCGACATAGCCATTACCGCTAACTGCTGGTCCCAACAATTCTTTTTTTAAATAAAAAGAAAAAAAAGGAACTGGCAGGTGGCATGGTGGTTAAGGTGGCTGACGACAGTTCGAGTCCTGGACCTGTTGACTTGCTCTCACTTTCCCTCTCTGTCTCTCTCTGGTCAAATTAAAATAAATGAATGAATAAATAAAAATTCTTTTTTTAAAATGAGAGTTGCTAGAAGACTCCTATCCCTGGCTCGCACGGTTGAGGAGAGCCTGGTGAGGTTGAGTGGAGTAGAGAAGCGGGATGATGCCTGCGGCCAGCGCCTTGAACACTGACGCCCCGTGGTCGTGTGCGGTCGCGTTGGTACCCTGCTTTGGTCCTTCCCGGCGTCTTGCATGAGAAGGCGCTCTTGCGCGGTCTCCTGGCCGACAGCGGAGCCGGCGTGGCGGCGCTCTGGTCACGGTTTCTCTATGGCAGGCAGGGACGCCTTGCCTCCTGAGCGTCGCGGGCTAAGGTCGGCGCGCGCATCTGCGGCCGTGGGCCATGGCGCGACTCCCGAGGCTCGCCGTCTTTGACCTCGGTGAGCTACCGGGAGGGGAATTTCATAGAGCGCTCTTTTCCACATCCCAGCAGCCGCTCTCCTGTCTCTGCGCTCCCCGAGGCTGAATCTTTCCCCTCCTTCCTCTCGTAGATTACACTCTCTGGCCTTTCTGGGTGGACACTCACGTAGACCCCCCGTTCCACAAGAGCAGGTGAGACAGGGGCAGGGAGGACCCGGGCCAGGCGGGGCAAGCAGGAGCTGAGCGCGCTTTCGCCTTCGCAGTGATGGAACGATACGAGACAGGCGGGACCAGAACATCCGACTATACCCAGAGGTGCCCGAGGTGCTGGATCGATTGCAGGGCCTTGGGGTACCTGTCGCGGCTGCTTCACGGTAGGTAGAGCGACTGACAACTGTCTAATGCTGAAGGATGCATGCATAAGATTTAATTTTTAATTAATTGAATTATTAATTATTAAACATTGACCCAGAGACAACTGTGTCAGACAGAAAGGCTATGGGGTTGAATAAGGGTTTGCAATGTCGATCTACCCTGGATAAAACAAAATTTGTTTTTCCCTTTTTGTACTTTGCTTGCAGCCCTGGCCCTCACTCTCCTAAACCCAGCTGTTACACCTTTTTGCAGGACAGGTGAGATAGAAGGGGCCAACCAGCTACTGGAGCTTTTTGACCTCATCAGATACTTTGTTCATCGGGAAATCTACCCAGGCTGCAAGGTCACTCACTTCCAGAGGTACGCTGCGATAAGGGTATCAGAGAGGCTGGGTGAGCCAAGATGCCAGCTTGTTACTCCTGCCCTGCCTTTCCCAGGTTGCAGCAGAAGACCGGGGTTCCTTTCTCCCAGATGATCTTCTTCGATGATGAGAAGCGGAATATAGTGGACGTCAGCAAACTAGGTACTGCCTGGTGAGATTGCCCTTTGGGGAATAAACAGAAAGTGTTCATAGGATGGAGTAGGTATATACAGGGTGGATAGTCTGCATGATGGGGACACCCACAAACAGTGAGTCATAATGGGGACCCCCCCCCAGAAGCCTAACATGACTTATTTTCTTCTAGGTGTTACCTGTATTCACGTGGAGAATGGGATGAATCTACAAACCCTAACTCAGGGGTTAGAAACATTTGCGAAGGCCAGACCTGGGCCCTGAGGTCCAGCCCTGTAGAGAGGCTCATTTGAGGCTTAAAACTGAAAGGAAATCGAGGCATTTTCAGGTGCTTTTATACTTTATTAAAGCGTATCTGTGTGTAACAGAAGAGATCTTGGCCACAGCGTGGGTTGTTTCTATTTTTCTAGCATGGTTGTTTCTGTTTTACAATCGGGGTTGGTTGTCCTGATGTGCCAAGACCACGGTTTGAGACACTGCATCAAGGTCGGCCACGTAAACTTGAGGCAGCCCAAAGACTGTGAACCTCTTGTCCTGGAACCCACCCCCTCCTTTCCTGAGCTCTGCAAAGGGCATGAAGAACTCTCCAGCTGGCCCCATATATAGTGGAGTGCCATCACGCTGCACATTTCCTTCCAGGGAACAAATACTATGGAGTGGGTGAGGGTGCAGCGGCCTCTCTAGGTAGTGGAAAATGAAGCGGCTGCTTTAAGGCCTGAGACGTGTGCCTGGGGTCACGTGACGGCGTGCTCCTGTTTGCGCTTGCCGCTAACGTCATCGAGGCGCCCTCAAGAGAACTGGCCAAGGCTGGTCTCTGAATGATGATCCCCACCCTCCCGCGAGCAAGGCGGAAGTGTGGAGGACGCCGAGAGGCGGAGGCGTGAGAGGCGAGGTCGCGATCGCAATGAGTGGTCTTGGGCGATTCTTCGGGAGAGGTGAGACTGCTTAGCCGGGAGGTGCTGGCCGGAGCCGGAGCAGGGGAGACTGCAGCACCAGGCGAGGGAAGAGCCCCAGGAGACAGGCTGTCCCGAAAATCCTGGCCAATGGCAGAGCAAGGCTCGTCTCCGGTGCCGAAAGGCCCGCCTTGTCAGGGCGCCTTGTGTGGTTCTGCCTGCCTTCCACGCTACGGGAGGGGAGAGCTCGAGGTCCGGGAGGGGACGTGAGTGGAGGGCGTGGCGACCGTGCTGGCGCCCACCACACCGGCCGGGACGAGTTTCCGACTCCCTTCTTTTCCAGAACACTGATGCTTTCTTTGTCCTTTGTGCCGGGCAAGAGGGATCAAAGATGAAAAACGACTGCCGGCTTGAATCTTCTTATCTGGTGAGGGAAGAAACGAAAACAGTGTAGTGTAGCAACTCAGCGATGGAGACTCCCCCCAAAAAACTAGGGAAGCACAGGAGCAGGTGTTGGAGGGTGGTGACCCGGAAGGTTGGCAGTTTGCCAAGTAGAGAGTTCAGGTAGTAAAGAAGCAGTTGCAGCCGGCGAGAAACACAGAGGCAGGAGAGAGTATGGTATATTTAGAGAAGGAAAGTTCTAGCTGCCGTGTGAAAGGGAGAGTGTGTGTGTTCTAAGTGCATGTGGTGACAGAGAAAAGTGAATGAAGAGGGAAACAAGGAACAGATTGCAAAGGGCCTTGTATGGCCCTAAGAAGTTTTGGATTTTATCCTTTGGAAGGTATGAAAAGATTTTTAAGGTGCATTGTTTTGTTTTGTTTTATGAGAGAGGAAGAGACTGATCCTTGAGGTCATGATCAGATCCTCCCCCAGCTCTTTAGCAAGCCAGGATCACAGGTGCAACCATAATGAACAGGTGGACTCAGGATCCGAACCAGAGGGCTTCCCCTCTGGCTTCAGCATGGTACAGCAGTGCTGCAGCGTGCACTACCCTGGCTGGGCCTGTGTAAGGATTTTAAGCAGGCAAAGACCATCAGGTTTTATTTGGAAAAATGACTTGTAGAAGTATCAAAGATGAAGGAAGGAAACAGCAGGTGGCTTGGTGGTTAAGGCACTGAACACTCCCACATGGCCCACCACAGTTCGAGTCCTGGACCTGGTGGCTTGCTTTCTCACTTTCCGTGTGTGTGTGTGTGTGTGTGTCTTTCTGTCATTTATTCAAAATAAATGAATGAATAAAAAAAGTGACAAAGGGAGAAACTAAGTTCAGATTGTTTTGTTTTGTTTTGTTTTCTCTAGCCCCTTATACTTCATTCACTTTGAGTTTATGGAATCAGGACCTTCTTATTTCTCAGCCCACTCTTAACTCCTTAAAATTTCCCATATCCAAGGACAAATAGAACAGTGGTTATAAAAAGTGACTGGAAATGACTCGAACGCTAGCTTAGAATAGAAAAAGGAATATTGACTTTAGCGGCCAGATGGTGGTACAGCATTAAAATGTGATGCTCTGCAAGGCCAACCCACATGGGAAGATTGTAGATTCATATCCAGAGACCTCCAAATACATTGGGCATGGACATGCTCATGCTCTGGGGCTGGCTGAAGCTTGGGAGGATTGTGGTGGCAACACCCTATAGGGGTTGTTGTATCTCTTTCTTTGTCTCTTTGTCATGGAAGTAATAAATAAACTTAAAAAAAAAAAATAAAGCAAGAAAGGGCCAGCCCCAAAACCTAGTGATTAAGGAAAGTGATTAAGCCTGGTGATTAAGCCTGGCCAGATTTCCACATGGCCAACCCTAGTTCACATCTGGCCCCAGTAGCTTGAAAAACATGTCAGGCACTTGTGCCTGCATGCCTCAAATTCCAAGAGGATAGAAAAATGAAGAAGGAATTGTGGGGTGACCGTGCACCATGGAGGGGGTGCTTTCACCCTCTCTCTTTCTGTGTCTTCCTCTAGCAAGCTCATGTGCGTCTAATAACTTAATAACAAAACAAAACAAAAACAAACAGAAGAAAATAATGACCTTGGAAGTCATACTGTCACATTTTGATTCATGCTTAGTCTCTTACTAGATGTGATTTTAGACCAACATTTTTCACACCTTTCTCCCTGTTTTACATTTGTAAAGTGAAGATAGTTCATTCATCATAGAGAATAATTTAGGAATTAGCAACAACTAGTTAAGTAAGTGCCTAGCACATGCTATGCACTCAGTTATTGGTGGCTAATAGTTTTCCTTCACAAAATATGGGCCTGCTCCATTGGACTCTTCAGGGAAGAAGGAGAAGGAGCCAACCCCTGAAGAAGCAATACAGAAACTGAAAGAGACAGAGAAGATACTGATCAAGAAACAGGAGTTTCTGGAACAGAAGATTCAACAGGAGCTACAAACAGCCAAGAAGCATGGGACCAAGAATAAGAGAGGTAATAAGGGAAACAGATGGGAAGGGTCCAAGTGGGAAGCAGGTGCTTCTGACTCTGATGTTTAGGGTATGGGCTGGGTCAGCCGCCCTGCAGGCTTTGCGAAGGAAGAAAAGGCTGGAGCAGCAGCTGGCACAAACTGACGGGACATTATCCACCCTGGAGTTTCAGCGTGAAGCCATCGAGAATGCCACCACCAATGCAGAAGTACTTCGTACCATGGAACTTGCTGCCCGAGGCATGAAGAAGGCCTACCAGGACATGTGGGTATGGGGGCAGAGGAGGGAGGGACCCAGGCACTTGAGAGCAGGGTTATTATACTTTGAACTCTAAAGCCTCTCAGAATATGCATTTGCAGTTTACATACTAAGGATAGTAGCCTTTCTCCTTGCTTCCGACAAGATCCTTTTGCTGACTGGGGCAATCTGGGGATCATTTCTCTAATTCTTTTTTTTTTTTTTTAAGTTTTTGCTATACGATGCGTGCGCTTGCCAGACAGACACAGAGAGACAGAAAGCGAGAAACCCCCCCCCAGGGGGGCTGGCCACACCACAATCCCCTCTCCTCCATTCTCCTCTCGGGATCTTGGGCACGCACACACATGCGCCCGTCGTGAGTTTTAAGCCACCGGGTCCGGACGTGAACCGCAGTCGACTACATGGGAGTCCAGCGACATAGCCATTACGCCAACTGCTGGTCCCTCGTTTCTCTAATTCTTAAAGATCCTTTAGGGAAGGACATGTAACCTAGTCTCTTAATGTGGCTTCTTGTTAACACACTTGCCTCCTAACAATTTTCCAAGGATCTCTTCTACCTGATAGCCAGGGCTTATTGGTGTTAGTCCAAAAGACAAGAGGAATTTCATTCATATGAAACACAAAAATCAGGGGGTTTTGCCTGATTTCTTGACTGTTCATCTTGTTCTCAGGGATATTGACAAAGTGGATGAACTGATGGCCGATATTACTGAACAACAGGATGTGGCCCAGCAGATCTCAGATGCCATTTCTCGGCCTGTGGGCTTTGGAGATGACGTGGATGAGGTGACTGTGGTGATGGGTCAGGGAATACTGGAGAAATCACAGTATTGGGCAGAGGAATGCTCAAGAGAGGCTCTTGGGGCAAGTGTGGGGGGGAGCTCCGACAATGATATGGTTTTGGAAGTAGGAGTTACCTTTCTTTGTCTTGACCAATTGTGTCATCTCATATCCAGGATGAACTGTTGGAGGAGCTAGAAGAGCTGGAACAGGAGGAATTGGCCCAGGAGATGTTAAATGTGGACAATAAGGAGGAAGAACCTCCAGTCAAATTGCCTAGTGTACCGTCTACTCATCTGCCTACAGGGCCAGGTACCCAGAGGGCTGTGAGGGCTGTTCTGGAGTCTCAGGGTGGGAAAGATTATTCTTCATCTGTCCTGCCACAAAAGAGCTGGTGGGGAGGGCTGCTGCTGCTGTTGTGCAGGTTACAGACTGCGTAAGGGCACCTGACTGAAAGGAAATGATCCGAAATCCAGCCTGTGCTCCCCGCAGCAAGCTGTATGCCCTGGTTTAGGGCTGCAAATGCAGAGAGCAGGAAGCACCTTTTTTTTTCTTTTTACATTTCCACAGGGTGTATGTACATGCCAGAGAGGTAGGGAGAGGGGGATAGCATTCTTTTTTTTTTTTTTTTTTTTAGAGGTTTTTCACTGTAGGGCGCATGCGCTCGCCAGACAGACAGAGAGAGACATAGAGACAGAAAGCGAGAAATCACCCCCCAGAGGGGATGGCTACGCCGCAATCCCTTCTCCTCCATTCTCCTCTTGGGATCTTGGGCACGCACGCACACGCACCCGGCGTGGGTTTTAAGCCACCAGGTCCGGGACGCGAACCGCGGTTGACTACGTGGGAGTCCAGCGACATAGCCATTACGCTAACTGCTGGTTCCCGAGGGGATAGCATTCTTGAAACGGGGTGTGATCACACCACAATCCCTTTTTCTCCATTTCTTCATCCTTTCAGGATTTTGAGCATGTATGCATGTTTGGCATGTTTTTCAAGCCACTGGGTATAGGATTCGAACTGTGTGGTCAGCCCTGTGGGATCCAGCTCCCTTAACCACCAGGCCATAGGCCAGCCCAGGAAGGATCCCTTTTCAATTTGTACCAAGATACTATGGGAATGAGCAGCAGTCTGGCAAGCAGAAGGACCACACCTTTGCTGGGGAGAGAAAATTCAGTAGGCTCGCTCTGAATGCATTGCAGGAGATGGTTGGAAGTTGCTGAGACTTTAACACTTTTCTTTTTTCTGGGTATCTTTGTTCCCAAAGCTCCCAAAGTGGATGAAGATGAAGAAGCACTCAAACAGTTGGCTGAGTGGGTATCCTGAAGCATCTGGGCTTGTCTTCTTAATGCTGCTTTTGTTGGTCCCTCTTCATTAAGTGCCAAGTGTTGAGCTAAAGGAGCAGCGGTTCTTTTGGGAAGTCCTGCTGATGGTGGTAATGCAGCTCTGCCTAAGAAAGGTGCCTGTCCCATCCCTGGCTCACTTCTCAAAAAGGATCTTGCTATGGAAGGAGCCTCTGGGCTTCCTTCTCTCTGATAGATGTTCCAGTGCTCTTATTCCCAATAAAATTGGGTGGTTGGAACACTGTCTATACTGCCTTTTCTGCTCCCTGAAACGCTTCCCCTAGTGCTTGGAGCCTTGTTTCAAGCAATGAATAAAAGTGAGAGTCATGCAGGGCACAGAGAAATGGACATTTCCACTATCTTTATTTTTCCTTTAAAGAAATATCTATTTATTTCTATTTGTTAGTATTATTATTTTAATTTGGACGGAGAAAGGGAAAAGGAGAAAGCAAGCCTCCAGGTCTGGGACCTGAACCACAATCAGCCAGGTAGGATTCCAGCACCCCCAACCACCACGTTACCTGTTGGCCCCAGATTTTTGCTATTGGGCAGGTGTGCTCGCCAGAGAGAGAAAAAGTGAAAAATCACTCCCTGGAGGGGTGGCCATGCTGCTGTCCCTTTTCCTTCATTCTCCTCTTGGGACTTTGGGCATTGCACGCACATGTGACTGGCATGAGTTTTAAGCTACTGGGTCCAGGACTCGAATCCCAGTTGACTGTGTGGGAGTTCAGTGACGTAACCGTTACACCATCTGCTGGTCCCTCCACTATCTTTTTTTTTTTTTTGGTGG